ATAAACGTTTATTAAAAAATGAAGAGTCAACCTATAGAATGGGAGACAATATTTGCAAATCAAGTATCTGATAAGGGATTCATATCTTAAATACATTTTTTAAAAGCTCATACAACTCAGGGAAGAAAATCAGATTTTAAAATGGGCAGAGGAACTGAATAGACATTTTTTCAAAGGAGACGTACAAATGGCCAGCATCATGTTGAAAAGGAGCTCAACATCATTAGGAAAAGGCAAGTCAAACCCACAATATATCACTTCATACCCATTATGGCTGTCATCAGAAATACAAGAGATAAGTGTTGGCAAGACTGGAGAAAAGTGAACCTTTATGTGCTGTTGATGGTAATGTAAATTAGTGTGGCCACTGTGGTAAGCAGTATGAAGGTCCCATTGTTGGGTATAGGGCTTCTCTGGTAGCTCAGCTGGTAAAGAGAAGGGAATGGCTACCCACTCCAGTATTCTGGCCTGGAGAATTCTATGGACTGTATAGTCCATGGGCTTGCAAAGAGTTGGACACGGCTGAGCGACTTTCACTTTCTGTTCAATATATATCCAATGGAAAGAAAATCGTTATCTTAGAGATACCTGCACCCCCATGTTCTTTGCAGCATTATTTACGATAGCCAAGATGTAGAAACAACCTGCGTGCCTGTCAACAGATAAATGAATAACCACCTGCCTGACATACATACAGGGACTTTCCAGATAGCTTGGTGGTAAAGAATCCACCTTCAGTGCAGGAGACGTGGGTTTAATTCCTGGGCCAGGAAGATCCCCTGGAGAAGGAAATGGTAATCCATTCCAGTATTCTTGCTTGGGAAATCTCATGGACAGAGGAGCCCTGTGGGCCACAGTCCATGGGGTCACAAAGGAGTTGGACATGACTTAGTGACTAAACAACAACAGGAACACAGAGAGAGAGAGGAATATTATTCGGCCATAAAAATGGAATCCTGTCGTTTGCAATAGTATGGCATTATGCTCAATGAAAAAAGTCAAAACTGCTAAATACAAATACTGTGTGATCTTATCTGTGGAATCATAGAAAAGGAGAACAGACTGATGTAGCCAGAGATGAGAGTAGGGGAAAGGGGCTGCAAAATGCTGAAGGTAAATTAAAAGATACAAGCTTTCAGTTACAAGATAAATAATTTCTGGGGTGGGTACAGCATGGGATCTGTGGTTAACAATACTGTGTTGTATATATCAAAGTTGCTAAGAGAGAGTAGATTTTTAAAGTTCTCATTATAAGGAAAAAGTTGAATCTGTCTGGTGATGGATGCTGACTTCTTCTGATAATTATTTTGTAATACATTCCTGTATCTAATCATGTTGTATACTGTAAACTAATACTAATATATGACTAATGTGTGTCAGTTGTATAGCAATAAAATTGGAAAACAATTATCAGGTGGGAATATATTGATCATTGAGAGTTGGAATAGTAGGAATGGGAGAAGTTAATAATTGGAATTTGTGGAAAAAAGAAAAATTAATACCAGTGTCTCAAAGACACTTCTTTGAGAAAGATCTTCAGTGTTCTTCTTACTTGCTGCAAGTAATAAATTCTTCCTTCTCCCAGAAAAAAAAAAACAAAACAAAACTAACCGAAATGAGAATCTGTAAACTTTGTTCTTCCCTTCAGTAATAGCACTCCCATAATGTATTTTGGTTAAATAAAAAGATTTTGATCATTCATTAGGTTAATTAAAGTGAGGGTCTTATTGGTGTCCCTTAAAAAAAAAGTTAGAATGAGTATAAGCATTTTGTTTTTACTTAAATTTTAGTATACTTTTAAAAATTGCCATTATTTTTGATACTTCTTTTAAGCACACATGCAAGCACATTCACGTGTGCAGATATCATTTTTACTGAATGTTTACTGAATACTTTCTTTGGGTGTGAGAGATAGATAGATAGATAGATAGATAGATAGATAATTGTTCAGTCATGTCCGACTCTTTGCAACCCCATGGACAGCAACCTTCCAGGCTCCTCTGTCCTCGGCGATTCTCTAGGTAAGAGTGCTGGAGTAGGTTGCCATACCCTCCTCTAGGGGATCTTCCTGACCTAGGGTTCGAGCCCAGGTCTCCCGCATTGCAGGCAGATTCTTTACCATCTGAGACACCAGGGAAACCCATACTGCCCTTGAAATTGATCCTGTGTTCTAAACATCATATTAGGCTTTGATCTCATTCTTTGAGGAGCTTGCAGGGGGAATTTCAGATTTGTTACAGGCACTTTTTGTTGTCAACTTTCTATACAAGGGGAATTTTGCTGGGGGCTCTGCAAAGAATTTTCATCTTCACCAAAAAAAGAGATGCATGATGAGAAAATTTTGCTATTGCTCTTTCATTTCTGTTTTGGACACTGATATGGGAAGTGATACCTGATGCTGAAATTTGTGACCAGGAGGCTGCAAGCATTAGGACCAAAGCCCACTTGTATTAATGAAGGAACAATAGAAAAGAGAGTCTGGTCACTTTGGAGATTCTTTAAACATACTCTTACCGTATGATCCAGCTACACTCATAAACAATTTCATCTGTAAATTACATCAGGAGAGAGAGATTTAGAAGCTTAACAAAGTCCTGTCATGACTATCAACAAAGAATGTGTGTGTTTTGACTTTAAAATTTAAATATGTTCCTCATTTTTCACAATGCCAGTATATGAGAATCTAAAATAACAAGTTCTAAATCAGGGGAAAAAGTGAACACAAATGAAAAATACAAAGAGTAATAGACAAGGTAGTACAGTTTTCCAAATCTTACAAATGAGACTGTTATACCAGTGATAATTGATGAAGCTTTAGGGGATTAGTTCATTGGTCAAAAGTGTCTGGACAGGCTAAAACATCCTTTACCTGTTCTCAGAAAAATGTATGATATAAGGGAAGAGAGTATATGTAGCCTGACAGTTTTTCATATAGAGACATATGACCACCTGTTAAGATGGGATTGTTTAAATAAAACATCTTAAATTGTGTTTCTCTCTCTCTCTCTCTCTTTTTTTATGGTCACATTGCAAGGATTGCAGGATCTTAGTTCCCTAACCAGGAATTGAACCCGAGCCCTCGGCAGTGAAATCACCAAGTCTTAACAACTGGACCTCCAGGGAATTCCCCATTTCTCTTTCTTTACTCATCTTGTTTGAGGGACCTTGGGTAGACAACAAAAATAATTGAAGGCTATTAGATTAAGTTGTAATAAGAGAAAGTAATAAGAAATATAAATTCATAATGTTGTTCACGTAGGAAGCCCAGTAATTGTTGACCTATTCTTACCACCCTGCTTTTTTACCTTAACAGAATATGTGTTATGAAAGTAGACATATCATTTCCTGAGTTCGGGGGAATACATTGTAATGATTGTTAGCATTACCGAAGCATAAAGTCATTATGCAGTATTAATAATGGAAAGAAAAACAGAAAAGATGAAAATAAACAGTTTAACTACTATAATGAAGTAAACCTTGTATTCTGGGATCATGTGCCCATTTGTAAATTCAGCTCACAGGTTTGTGTCTGTTCCTGTACTAGGGAATTAATGGTGTTTGTAAGAAGCTTATACAGTCTAGACCTACTTACTTTCTTTTATTATGTGTAATAATAACCAAGCAGTTCTAATTTTCTTCTTCCTTAAATGTTAAGGTAAATCTTTAATGAAAGTGAAATAAAAGTATGTGCTTAGTCTGTGATTGCTGTGACACAATATTCTGTGACAACAGAATATTCTTTTATTAAGAAAAATCACCTAGATTTTAAAAAATTAGTGTTGAAATTACCTCATTGTAAACTTTGTCTTGGGCTTAGTCCTGAATTGAGAAACTGGAGAGTTCTGAAATGGATGAGTTTTAAGATTTTTTGTTTCTCAAATTTATTTTTGCTTGGAGGTTGTGCAAAGGATCTACTTCAGTCACTCTGTCATTTATACTCAGTCCACAATAGAACCTAGACCAAAAGTTGAGCTTTCCAGAGATTTAGTGTTGAACTACTTTGTGGCACTAGGGTTTTGGAAAGGCCTTTATAGAAGTGGTGCCTCTGGAGGTGTTAGTTGCTTGTGGGCTTCCAGGTGGCTCAGGGGTAAAGAATCCACCTGCCTATGCAGGAGATGCAGGAGACACAGGTTCGATCCCTGGATTGAAATGATCCTTTGGAGGAGCAAATGGCAACCCAACTCTAGTATTCTTGCTTGAAAAATTCCATGAACAGAGGAGCCCGCTGGGCTGCAGTCCATGAGGTCACAAAGAGTCAGATACAAGTGAGCGACTGAGCACGGACATTCACACACTGTGTCAATCAGTAACTTGGATTTTGTGATTGTTGTCAGTGCTTGATAAATGGTGGGGATGGAGGAGGGAGACAGTGGGTAGAGAATGGGTTCATTTCTGATAGATTCTGTCCAAATTAAAAAGAAGAGCTTTTAATCGCCCTCAGTTTATTTAACTTAGTGGAACCGCACTGTATTTTTGTTAGCCAGTGATGAAAAAGCCAACAAATAACTTTCCTTTGAGTAATATGAAAACACCAGAAGAAAGCATTTTATGTTAAAGGGTTGTCTGTTCCCTTAATTGCCATGGTCTGTAGCATACTGAGTGTGTTTTACCAGGTAAATTACTAGTCCAGATGGCTAAACTTTTGGAGGATATAAAACCAAAATCCATTTCAGGAAGCTATCCACTTTGCATAGTTCTGGATAGGATCCATTCTAGTTAGTGGTAACGCTCTTAATTTGTTTTTAAAATACAACTTTTAACTGTATGCTTTTTTGATTTTTACCTAGGTTACACAGTGTTCTCCTATGCTTGAGATCTACAGACTACGTATCCTACAAGAACTAATCAATGGTTTTTCATCTTCTGGAAATAAAAATGTAAATATGGTGCCAAAAGAACTCCTTACCTTACTCTGACGACAGTTTATTCGGCCACACTTTTGTATTGAAGAGACGTGTACAGATCCAATTACTTGTGCAGAGACACTGTCGTGTAGGATCATGGACCATCCTAGTAGGGAAAAGGATGAAAGACAACGGGCAACTAAACCCATGGCACAAAGGAGAGAACATTGTTCCCGACCATCCGGCTCAACATCCTCTGGGGTTCTTATGGTGGGACCCAACTTCAGGGTTGGCAAGAAGATAGGGTGTGGGAACTTCGGAGAGCTCAGATTAGGTAAGAACTTGGTTCTTATTGGTTTAGACTAACAGCAACAGCAGAAGCTGTAATAAGCTTTGATGTGTTTCAAGACACGCAGTTTATAATTTTATAAGATGTTCTTATAATGAGGAACTGTTGTTAAAAGAACTGAAGAATTCATGAAGGTGACTTTAGTCATTGTCAGGTGTTATTGGTATCCAAGGTTCATCCCTCTATGTGTGTGATAGGATTTAATATTTTCTGCCAGTGCTGAGATTTTATGATGGAGGGAGATCCACATGCAGGTAACAGTAAAATGAAGATTCTGATTTAGTTGGTTGGAGAGATAGAGCCCTGTGTTCTTTTTAACAAACTCCCAGTTGACTGAGATGCTGTTGGTCCTTGAGTCATGTTTTGAGAAGGTTTATTAAGGCTTTATTTTAATTCAGACTCTGCCCCTAGTAAAGGAAGAGTAAGTCCTTACTAGTGATCCCATACTTGCTCTTCAAGGAGATATATCAGTGTTTAGAGCGGTTTTTCAACTGATACAGTGTTTACCTTCCTTCCTGGAAGTTCCAGCATCAGGACTAAGCTAGAGCTCCAGGGAGAAACTTTGCAATTTTTTATTTCCCAACCAAGGAGAGAATTTTTTATTTTGAGAATTAATTTATGTGTGAGATGATGAATAATGATAAAATCAACCAATTTGAAGATGTGAAATTGGGAAGAAGGTACATTGGTTATTTAGATACTTTTTATGACCTTCTCTAGGTGAATGCAGAAGAGAAAATGAAAGATAAATTTATGATGTCATCAGCTTAGAGATTGTGACAGATCCTTTTTTAGGCTAAAATGTTTTCTTATTTTTCATAGCTGTTGAGGCTGTATATTTTATGAAGACCTATTGTAAGAGGCTTTGCCCTCTGAGGGAACAGAGCATGGGAGCTTAAGATGATTTTTGTTGATTACCTCTGCTACTTCTGATGATTTTTCAAAAGAAGATTGAAAAATATCTTCTCATCCCCCCATACAGAGATTCAGCTGCGCTAGCCAGAGATCACTGGGTGCAGAATTGAATTTAGGGATGCTGAGAATGAATTTATTTTTACCACTAGAAGACTAGCAGCCTGGAATTTTAAGACCTGCCTAGGATAATGAAAGCCTTTTTATATTTAGTGATGTGTTCATGTTCGGGTTAGCTAAGCCAGCAGATGCTACTGAGAATAGGAGTAAGATGTGTAATTTCACACTGCTTGAGTTCCTATCAACTGTTGAGTTGCTTTAGCAGCTAGGTTTGTGAATATTCATTTATATAATGGATTGACTTTGCTCTAGCAACACAGTAGTACTTGAATTAAATAGATGATAACATAAACATCCACAGAATTACTGCTGAGAGTCAGTTTGTAATGTATATAAATTCATGCTTTCTCAAAACACCATAAAATTGTTTAGTTTCTATAAGGATGAAGGAAAATTTTGGTCAGTGAAAACTGGAAATGTATTTTGTTTAGTTACTTGAGTCTGGATTTGTACGTATCATCTTTATGTTTACACAAAAATGGAAAAATCTATTCAAGTCAAAGGATAAATTTGTAGCCTATGTATATTCTCAGACTGGTAAAGTGTTGTGTTTTATTTCCTGTAATGAAGCTAGGGTAATTATGATGGGTCTCATTTTGACTTGCCTTGTAGTCAGTAGAAAGAACTCATCTTTCTTTTCAAGTGGTTTTATTCTGTGTGCCGATGAGGTTTTCATTTGCTCTGGGACCATTACTGTTAGGGCATTGTATCTGGGAATACTTTTTATTGACAGAAACAAGAAAAGGAACATTCAGAATCATTTGATATCTTCCTGACAATAGGGTGTGCTATATTGCCCTCTTTCTGTGATATTAGTAAGTAGGGGACTGTGCAGATAACAGAAGGTGTAAACTGGAAAATTCTGAACTCAAGAAGGTGCAGATAGGCCTCCACCCAGGCTACCATTACAGGGCTGTGCTTTCTTCTCCAAATTCATTTCTTTTTCTAGCTACACTGTCCCTTCTGTCCCTCAAATAATCAGTTGTGTTCATGGTTCAGAGCTTTTACACCTACAATTCCTTATGTCTGTAGAATTCTTTCTTCAAAAGTTTGCTTAGCTAATTGCTTCTCATTCCTCAGGCCTCAGCTTTCATGTTACTGACTCAGAGAAATCTGCTGTGACTTCTTTCCACCTCCATTTAAAATAGTACGTTTTTCCCTAGCCTCCTTCTATCCCATCAGACTGCTTCACTTTATTCATCACATTGATCACTGTCCAAAGTTATTTTATTAATATATGTTTACCCGTTAATTGTCTCTCCTTATACTTGAATATAAGCCCCTGGGAGAGGAGGGGATTCTATCTGTATTATTTGCTGCTGTTATTTGTGGCATGCATGAAGTGACAGCCAGATGAATAGGAAGCAGAGGGGCAGGGGCAACATGAGCGTCTTTGGGTTCCTGGTAGGAGGGGGTCATGGTGGGTAGTGGCCTTAACGTTTAGATAGACTCTTGGATTCCAGACAGAGAACCCTCCCCAAAAAGGTGATGATCACTGTATTTGGGTCCTCTGTAAATCTGTTTCCTCCGTATAATCCATTTAACAAACACTTCTTAAATATTTACCATCTTGCTAGTCTTTAGGAAAGACATGGAGGATAACAAGGTATCCTTATGAATCTCACAATCTGGGGGGAAAGATAAGTTAGGAGTATGGGATTAACATATACACACCACTATATATAAAATAATCCATAAAGATTTACTGTATAGAACAGTGAACTTTATTCAATATCTTGAAATAACCTATGAAAGAAAAGAATCTGAAAAAAATGTGTATATATATATATATATATATATATGTATAACTGAATCACTTTGCTGTATACCTGAAACAAACATAATATTATAAATAAACTACAATTAAAAAAAAAGAATCTCACTGACTAGTGGTAGAAAGAGAAAAACAAATTACAGCATAAAGTGATAAGTATTATAGTAGATTGTGTAAAAACGACACTGGCAGAGAAGGTTAATGAAAGTTTCACAGAAGCGTGTTATTTGATTGAGAGTAGGATAGGACTTCAGTAGTGAGCACAAGGAAGAAGGAGTCTCCACCAGCAGAACGTGTTAGCTCTATGTGCTGTGAAAGTGTTTCGCATAGTGTCAGAGCAGCAACAGCTATACATGACTGGGTTGTGGGATGTGAAGTGAAAGACAAGTAATAGATGAGGCTGTGAGATAGGTTGGGACCAGAATGTGAAGTGTTTGCGTGGTATTAAAGCATGTGGACTTTATCCTGTAGGCAGTGGAGCAGAACCATCAAGGGTTTTATGAAACCAGACATTATCTGTTTTGTATTCTAGGAAGATAATTCCCAGTATAAAATTAGATCAGCTAGTAAAGAGGTTGTGGATTTTTGCTCTTACTGTGGTACTGGTCACTTTGAGTTACGTTCCTTCATCTCTCTACTTCAAGATATGCTTGATGGTAGTAATTTGCTTTATTGATATTCTCATATGTATTCATATTCTTAATTCCTTTTATGTGTATGACATACAATGGGTACCTATGTAGTCCAGGTCAGAGGTGACTGGGCCTGCCTTAGCCCTGAAAATGGCACTGAGATGCAGAGGAAGGGACGAATTAGGGAGAGATTTTAGTAGTCTGTAGGCAGGATATGTTTGCCAGTTATTTTAGGGGAAAGGGTCAAAGATGGCTGAGTTTGCCAGGTTGGGAAGACCAAGTGAATGAGGAAACCTTTACCAGAGGTAGGAAACACAGGACCAGAGTAGGCAGTGGGGAAGACAAGTAGTTAGACTTGGTGAATATATTGACTCTGAGGAGTGTGCAGCACATAGGCACAAATATGACTCTGAGACATAGAAAAGTTTAGGCTTCAGATAGGGATTAAGAAATCATCACTATGTAGGTGTTAATGAACATGCAGTCATGAGTGATGAGTGATGTGGAGCTTGTGTGAGTGGGAGAAAGGTGCATTTAAGGGATGCTAGAAGAGGGAGAGCCTCAAGAACAGAGAAGTTGAAAAGTCAAAAGAAGAGTTTCTAGAGGGTTGGAGCGTTAAGCACAGCCTTGTGCCCTAAGGTTAAACAGAAGAAGCTAATTATTACAGCCTTTGGTCTTTTACTTCTTTTTATATATTTCTGATGATTCCTTTTTTCCTTCCTTTTCTTTTTTTATGAATGCATGTATTTTGTAACCAGGAGGGGGAAAAGCAATAAACAAAAAGCAAAGCAAAAAATGTGCCTTTAAAGGCATATTTTTTAAAAAGGAACCCAATTCTTTTAAAAAAAATTCTACTTTTTTTTGGCATCTCCAAAGATAACCACTAATTTTGTTTAATTAATTTAATTTTCCAGAATTAGAAAATGTTTATCAGGACATATATTAGAAATGCAGTCAAACTGTGCTATAAACTTGTTTTTAATCACTTAATACAGCATGAACTCTTGTGTCAGCTTACAGATCATGCAGTTATAATGTCTGTAGTTAGTAATTTATTGGACTTCCCTGGTGGCTCAGATGGTAAAGAATCTGCCGCAATGCAGTAGACCCAGGTTCAATTCCTGGGTTGGGGAGACCCCCTGGAGAAGGAAATGGCAACCCACTCTAGTATTCTTGCCTGGAGAATTCCATTGGCAGAGGACCCTGGCAGCTACAGTCCACGGGATTGCAAAGAGTTGGACACGACTGCACGACTGACACAATCTACACATACACACTACAGTAGTTTATAAGCCGGTCTTAATATACAGATAAATTATTTCTATTTTTAAATTATAAATAATACTATACTGAACATCCTTATAGATGCTTGTAATAAAGACGTCCTTGTAGTCCAAACTTGGTTGATTATTTTCTTAGGATAAGTCCTGGAAATGTACTTTCTATGTCAGAAATACATACATATTTGTGATCTTGTTACATATTGTCAATTTGCCCTCCAGAAAGATAATTTTCCTGATTTCCCTTAACTTTCTGTGTGAGTGTGT